CACCCCCGCGGCTGGGTCCTCACAGCGGCCCCGCCTCGCCGCCGGCCGGGTGCCTTCTCACCGGAGCCGGAGTCCTTGGACTTCATCCGCTGGCGGAGACCTGGGTATCCACCGCGATTTCTGCCCAATCCAGAAAGAACCACGATTGGGTTAGGAGTTGGATCTAGGGGCGGTCATGCGACCCGACATGTTAATCCAGGACCCAATGATCTCCAGTCATTTTCCTAGTGACCTGTGAATTAAACAGATGTGTTTTTTCCTATGCAGGAGGGACAGACAAACTCGCCTCCTGGAATCATGAAATTCAACCAGCATTCTTGAAGGAAGTAGCTTAATCCTACTGGTGCCACAGAACTAATAGCGGATCCATTCATCTGAAATGCCCACACCACACATCCACCGACTGTCTGAGCCATCTTCACTGTAGTTATCTGGGACAGTTACTTTTTTTGGTGTTTGCAAGTTGCCCAATCTTTTTTTCCGTGACACATGCTTAGTCTGTTGTGTATTTGGGGTCGAGGGGGGAAAATATCCTGTCTGCATCTTCTCTTCAGGGTACTGAAGAAAAAGACCGTCTCTAACTTTTTTTTTGTTTGTTTAACATTTGTTATTCATTCCAAGTATTTTGCCACTAAATAAAAAAGAAATAACTTTGTGACTGGTGTCAAAGGGAACTAAGGAGCGTTAACAGGAAACTTTCAGTTCCATTCTCAGTAGGTGGTCACCATTCTCATTAGCCAGGAGTTTAATTTCCTTAGTAACAAAACCATGGGCTATTAGCTACTGACTTGGCAGGCTAGCTCTACTTAATTTTTTTTTTTTTCAATACTACACCTCCACATCACATCATTCTTTTAATAAGCTTCCATTTTGACCATGCTTTCAGCAGAGCTCTCTCTGATTCTCACACCTCGAGCCCCCCTATCATGCTTTCATACATAAATACGATCTTAGCAACTCTCCTCTGCTCAATTCATTAAGCTCCTCATGATCACTATAAATTCTACAAAACTCTGGATGAAATACCTTTGGAGGTCATATTTTTTAATATGGAAGCATAAAGAGTCAACAGAAGACAATAAATACAAATTTATAAGTGGGGCGTTGAAAAATTAGAAGTAGGGGAGGAGAAAAGTAGAAGCTGATAAACAAGAATTAAAATAAGCTGATAAACAAGAATTAAAAGAGCCAGTGTAGAGGAAAAAAATCATTAAGAGAAGACATGAAATAATTCAAAGTAGCAAAAAGTGATACATTTCAGGTAGATCAAAGTTATTTTTTTTTAATTTTCTCTATCTCTTCTTTTAATTTTATGAAGACTTTTTAGAAAAAAAAAACCGCAATTATGTCAGTTCACAAGTGTCCCACCTGAGATTCTTAATCTTCAGTGATAGTCTTATTTCATGTCTGAACAAAAATAAATGGCCAGAAATGTCAAGAGATGATGTGGGAAAGAAATAGAAGATGGTGTTCCTCTAGATTTGATTTTTGGGATTCTCAATAATAGGAAAGAGAAGAGGAAAGTCCCCCAATCATAAATGTTGACCATTATATGCAATACTACTGGGTAAGAGGAATGGAAATTGTATTTCACTTGCTTTTGACAAAATAAAATCCTCTTACAACGTAAGAATATTTCTCTGAATCTCCTTTACTAAAGATTCAAAATAAGGCCCTCCCTGGTGGCACAACGGGTTAAAGGACAGCACTAGAAAGCTATATGTAGCCAGTGTACCACTAATTTGATCCCTGGGCACGGAGGTGACCCACATAGCTTGGCAGTACCCCTCCTGACCTGCCTGCTGTTCCCCTCAGCAGTGTATTTCACACCTGCTTGTTCTGCTCCCCACTCTACTTCTGGTGAATCCTCTCATCCCTTGTATGTATGTATGTATGTATGTATGTATGGGTGTATGTATGAAAGAATGAATGAATAAATTTTTAAAAAAGAAACCTGTTCTTCTATAATATCCATTGATATTAATGAATCAAGCTACTCTGATTTAAATTCAAATCATAATGTAAACATTTCTTACATATCAAATGTAAAATAATGGCTATTTATGTCTATATTTATTTCTATCTAATTACAATATGAAGTTACCTGAGGTCAAAAGTTAAAATTGGCTTTCAAATCCAAACTGAAAAAGTTAGTAGAAGCCTATCACTGGTACTTTTCACCAACTTCCAGTCGTTAAGTAGGTTATAATAAAATATTACTATAGAAAAAAAATTTGCAAAGGAGTTAAAAACATGGAGAGGGAGAAGATCGAATAAAATAATGTACATAAAGTCTATTTCATTCTTTTTTTATTACCCTTACAGAAAACTCATTCATTCTTTTGGCTCATCCTCAACTCCTTCAGACACAGTCAGCTTTATATGTTTTAAAGCTAAATTGCAGGAACCACATTAGCAAAAGTGGCAACTGTAATATTTCTGATGAATATGTCCACAGATGTGTCTGAGTTCTATAGTGCTAGCTGCAAATGGGCACATACTAAATCACAACCACTTTTAAACTTAGATTTGGTAACATTCTGAATAGAAGGAAATGTATAATAACTGAGTGAGTATGCACCAGCACCAGCACCAGCATTTCATTCTGTCTCTTTTTCATCATTTTCTGAATTTTGTAGGAGGAAGGATTGGATAATAACTGGAGATTATCTAATGGTTGCTTCTTCAGTCTAAGCATTTATCGACTGGTAAATCTTCTCATTCTCTGTCTCTTTTTCTCATTACAATAAACGAGCACCTAATAATTAACCTGCACCAAGAAATGCTATGCCACTGAAATAATTTTCATTCCCAAGAGCTCAAGAATATGCCCAAAACAGTTTGTCTCACTTTGATCCTCACACAAAGGATAATATGCATCCTTTTAATAGAGACTTTGAGGTTTTGTTGTTGTTGTTGTTCTGTTACATGAACTTGTATTTGTCTGTAAGGCTCAATAAAGTTATTAAGAGATACCTGAGTATCAAGATACATGAGTACTTGAGTACTGAATATGAAGAAAAAATAAAATAACAGATTTCTTCTCTAACCGAAACAGATTTCACTGGCAGGCAGGAGTAGATAGTGGTAGACAAGGGTATGACAGCTAGGAGAGAAAATGTCATTAGTGAAATGCAGCAGAGAACAATTTAGGTCATACATACATCAACTAATAAATGTACTGCATAAGGCTAGCAAGAGGTTCTCAAACTCTGGAACATATCAGTACCTGTTAAAATACAGAGAGTGGAACCTCACCTTACAGGTCTGGGGTGGGATATGAAATTGGGACTTGGGCAATCTTCTAGTTGGGTATCAAGAGATCACACTCAAAAAACCATAGGTTCAGAGATTAAAAGGAAATTTTAGATTTGATTTTATTGAGAACAAACCTCAAAAATCATCTATGACGTGTCTGTTGAGGAAAGGGAAGGTCTAGAAAGGATACCTGGTATTTCACATGCAGGGAATACAAATTCCCCAATTCAAACCCCACTGGTTTTGAATCCCAGTGGGGTTTGGATGTGTTTTTTTCTATTTGCCTGGAGAATATTTTCTTCTGATGGATCCACTGCTTTTGGTGAGATGGCTATCAACATTTTTTTTAAAGGATTTATTTATTTATGCGTGCAAGAACTGGGATCTAGGTTAGAGGTGTAGTAAGAAGATTCAACAAAGACAGAGTAGGGATTTATTAAAAGGCAGATTTACTGAAATACACTGCTGTGGGAAGCAGTGGATGAGACAGGAGAGGTCAGCTGCTCCATGAGGGTCAGTTCCCTCTTTGGGGATTAAACACATGCTGCATTGGCTGGTGATAGCTTGATAGTGCTAAGACTAACCCCTGTGCCACCAAGCAAGGCCTGGCTATCAGCTACTGATATGATCAAGAAAAGTACTCACTCCACTATCTTGAGAAAGTAGAACTGTGTCTACTGCAAATTAGCCGCTCAAAAAATACTTGACAATGAAGTGAATTAGTGAATAAAGTGATGTCCTTCTGTGTGTGTTTTGAAATTAATTTAATTAAACAAATTTATTTCTGAAGTAGCTACTCTGGGCATGAACCATGCTATGGAGTAGATTTGCTAGAAGGTTTATTAGCAAGACATAATCCTAGGAGATACACTGAGATCGCAGTGCACATGGAATCCCACACAGTACCTCACAGAATCTCCTCCTGCCCTTTGCCTACTTGGAGGCAGTTCATTTTAGTGAAGCTCTGAAGTCAACATATTCTTCATTCTACCCATGTAACAGAACTGCACATAAGTAAACAAAGGAAATTATCTCCCATGGAACCATAAAAAAGATGAGAATAGAAGTATCTTTGAGTAGAAGAGCCAGAAATTCTAGGATTACTAAGTCAGTTTTTCCTGCACCTTATTCCAACCCATCTGCATGAACTGGTGTCTTTCTCTTAAGCCAGTTTCTCCATAAAGTTGAATCTTGCTCAATTTAAGTCCAGACTCGCATTTTTACAATGCTGCAACTTGGAAAGAAAGAGATCACTCCCCCACCCTGTCAACTCCCAGGATTGGGCTTTGAGGCCCAACTTCATCAATGAACACCTACTTCACCCAACACTGACGGGGATGTATTGTCAACTATAAAGCTGCCATTACAGTGGTGCCATTCTTACCTCAAAAAAATCCTTTACTTGTATATTTGCTACCATCCTTCCAGCAGGTGGCAGTAAAAGGAGTGAGTCTACCCACCAGACTGTATATAATTCACTGATAGATGGAAATAAAGGGGTTTTAGGAAGAAAACTTCTTTTTCAAATTCACATTTTTAACTTTAGATTTAGATACTGTAGTGAGTTAAGAAGAGGCTATTGGGGTAGAATGAATGTATGTTGCAGGTGAGAAGGACATGAGGTTTAGCAGCTAGGAACAAAAAGTTATGAACCCAATGTCTATGTTCTTTTCAAAATTCCTATTTTCAAGTATTAGCCCCTGTTGTTAAGATATTGGGATAAGGGGAGTTTAGGAGGTAATTAGGGTTAGAAGAGGGCAGGTTCTTTATGAGAGACCTAGATGTCTTAAAAATAGGGGAAGACCTCTCCCTCCTATCCTACTCTCTCTCTCTGTAAGCACCAATCAAGACGATGTGAGGACAGAAAGA